CCTCTACTACTGTAAGGTCGCACGGCTTCCACACACCTAACGATAATCGTACGATCGCGGGATTTCCCGCGATTATCGCACGATGATCGTAAGGTGTGTGGGAACCTTAATGCGTAGTACATATACATGTACTACGCATACTACGCATTAATGAGCGCACATATACATGTGATTGTTCTGTGTTTTTTTTATAAATGTTTTAAATGGAGAACGCTATGGATTTTGTGGGGTTTTTTTTTCCCTCTATGAGATTATATATTAACCATTGGACTGGGAGTTTAAGACTGCGGCTGCAGACAGTCTATAGCAACGGATGACCTCATCAGTTGCGAAGACTCAGTTGGGTGCCCGAGGATGCAGTAAGTGTGGCACTGTTGCAAATGCTGCAGACAACAGTCGGGTGGCTTTGCTGGTGCCTCTCTAGTGCAGGTAGGACGAGCCTCAGATTTGCAGTCAAGGAGACATTCATTTGACATTCACTGGACTGCATGTAGGCTTTTTGCCTGGTGCAAGCAGTGGCAATATTAGGAACATTAGTAACCTCCTCTCATCCTCAGAAAATCTGAGTGCCTTAAAGCATGCACACTATTCTGAACAGAACAAGTCTGGAGTAGAACGCATGTTTGTCGTGAGCTTTACTGTACACTGAATGACTCATGCAACGAGCGTGACAGCACATTCTCATATATGCATGATGATGTAAAATGGAAGATCCTATTAAAACTAATAGTAATGTTTGTAGGCCTAGCAACATATATTTACACATATATACACACAGTGCACCGGTGATGGAATGGCGGTATAATGTAATACAAGTTATCTATAATGTAATACAGGATGCTTCTTAACAGTGACCTAAGTAAATTTAATTAGGAGTTTCTCTTTTATGTCCTTGTATATGATCATAGATTTTTAAAACCTATTAGTAGCATGCATGACTAGGTTCATAGATAAGAGAAGAAAATAATCTCTATTGTATAGGTCAGAAAGACCCCCATTATTCTAATACATATGGAAAGATAAGGGAGAGAGACAAGCAGCACAGGCTGTCACCAACAAGAATCCAGCTGTTCGAGCTTAGCACCCACACACTGTGAACGCAGACTGTACATACCTCCTGCAGGTTGGAGGAAAGGGGCATCCCAAATTTAGAAAACATGCAAATAAAGAAGAAAATAACATTTTAAATAAATTAAAAATTAAACAACTCTAAACGTTTCATTAAATATCTGATCACTGTACTATAGTTTATAATTACATTATTGCCAACCCTAAAATACAGAACAAGGTGCTGGAAGGTGAAATCACAAGTACAAAAATGTTCTCAGTAGGACTAAAAGTTGCGTGTTTCACTTACTGGCCCTGCTTTTTATACTGTTCAACTCTCCAATGTATTCATATCCCTCAAGTTTGTCACCAAAGATATAATGTAATTAAAATGAAGGCAAAAAATGAAAAGGGGACTGCAGAAAGACAAGCTGTAACAGTTCCCCAAGCTGTAACAATCACTATGTGCCATAATGAACACTATTTTTATTACCGAGACCCAGGGACATTTGAAAAGAACTATCACATTAGAGCTGCAGCTAACGATTATTTTCAAAATCGATTAGTTAGCCGATTAGTAAGTTCGATTAAAGTTGAAAATAACGATTGTTAAAGCCCAACTTCAGGCACAGTAACCTTACCAGGGTTAAAAGGAGAACTATGGGGTTAGGGCTTTTCCCCATAGTTCTCTTAAGGGTAATGGGAGGACACAAACTAGTGTCCTCCCGTCACCCTAAGCTCAGTATACCGCGAGCTGTAGCTCGCGATATACTGAGACGCCGCAGCCGGGACGGATCCCGACATTACTGTTGAGATCCACCCAGCTGCGGGATTGACAGCTGGCTCTGCCTATCCCCCGTCCGTTCCGCCAGTCAGCGCTGGAGGATCAGACAGGGGAGGGGGGGGAATCCCTGCAGGGATCCATGAGTGACAGTCGCGGCTCTCTGCAGGGATAGATCGAGAAGTGATCGAACGACGCTATGTGTTCGCTCACTTCCCGATCTATTGATCCGACCTGTGACAGTTTCATTGTCACAGGTCGGCTAGAATTATGAGGGTGATTGATTTTCACTCGCCTCATAGTTCTCCTTTAAAGTACCAAAACATTCCTTTTCCTCAAAGTAAAACCCCATCATGGAGTTTCTTCAACATCCTGTAAATCTGCATTACATGCTGGGATTAGTAGAGCTTTCGCTGTACTTCTGGGCCACTCAGGTTAAATGCTGCATGTCTCATTGACCCTGCCACTTAGGTCATGTCTCCGTTTCCTCTCCTCCTCACCTTTCACAAAGGCCTGCAGCGCTTACATCTGAGCGGGCTGCAAGTACAGTGGGAACTGCACTAATCCTGGCATGTAAATGAGCACAGTTCATAAGCCAAAGCCTGCATGAGAGGGTTTTTGCTTTCGAGGCTAAGGAATGTTTTACCCTGCTAGGGTTATTGACCCCGGAGTTGGGAATCGAGGATAATATTATGTGTTACAGTTAGTAAATTGGGCCGCCAGTAATCTACAGAGTGATGCCATTCACTTGGGAGGACAGTAGTAAGAAGCTGGTACGATACAGTTTTTTTTATCCTTGGTTAAACTGCTCTGACATTTCCTTTATACTGTAGTCTAATACAAATATGCCATTTCAAAAGCCAGCCATGCCTTCCTGGTGTCAAATCAGATCACAAGCTAATGCAGTGTATTCAGCCGATTACAAATCCTTGCAGCATATTCAAATTTGTTCTCCATTGAATTCACTCATTTACACTAAACCTTCTTAAAGTGACAATGATGCTAAAATTCAAATTGAAATAAACCTGGTACAAGAAAGGACTAAATACTTCCCTTTTCTGCAGGGCACAGTGGTGACGTAGGGTTTGGCAGGCGGAAGACCAGGAGATCGAAGTGTCAGCTTCTGTAGATCCTTCAGCCGGCTATTTTTCTTGATCAGAATGGCATTCAGCAGGCAAAGTAAACATTACTTTTCTTTACAGGCAACAGGTTTTTTTCAATTTGAACTATAGCAGCAGGGTAGCTGTAGGTGTTCTTCAAACAGCATTATACAAGTATGCGGTGTGGAAGTTAAGTCATGCCTACCAGTGCTTCATATGCATTTACTCTTCCTTCCAGGCACTAGGTGTAAGGTCAAAATCACAAGTTAAAACTGTGTATGCAGTCTGTTACAAATCCTCTAAAAAGGTCTAGATTTGTTTTACACTGTATGCACGTTCATGCTACACCGCAGCTCTATACACGTAGGTGGTGTCAAAAACTCAGTCATGCCTACCGCTTTTTACTCGCTTTTCTTTCCTGGCACAATACTGAGCAACAACTTATTTAGGAGAAAGCCCAAGACCATGACCAAGTAACATCCCATTCAAAGCACAGAGCTCATCCAATGCAGCTGGCAGAGATCTTTACACACACTTTTATTTTTTCCTTGTAAAGATACTAATTAAAACAAATAAAATATATAAATATTATATTTATTTTATGCAGCACTGAATGGATGCCTTTGTACACAAATTATAATTCAGGAATCGAGCCTACGTCCTCCTCGACATGTCCTTGACATTGCCAAAAGGACTGATCATTCCTTTTCAATGAAAGCAATAAATCAAACTGCCCATTTAGAGCAATCAATTTCTAAAAGACATGATTCTTTAATTGAAACAATCTGTTCATGTAGAAAGATATGATTTTTGTGAAAGGTAATCAGCGCTGCAGCTTGCTGGCAGTTTAAATGAGAGAAGATCTCACACTGATAACTGTACCAGCAAATTTATTATAGAGAATTGTACTAATAAAGGCCTCCAATGTATAACTGAAGGCCTATTACCAGTAGATTCACTTTTTTTCAGTAGTATTTAGCAACAGAGTACTTGTTACCCTTAATCATTTAATTGGTAGGTATTCCAGTTTTACCAAAAAAAGAAAGCTCACCAAGCTTCAGCAGCCAACCCTCACGGTCGGGGTTGAAAAAAGTGTGTGTAAGATCATTTCCATCATCCTCCGGAATCTTAAATGGCTCGTTCTTTATACTGTCATACAGATTCTGGGGAAAGAGTAAAAGATAAAAAAATAGAACTTTACCCTATGTGAATTCAGTAAAGAAAACTCAAATATGAATTCTGTGCAAGGCTGAAAGCTACTTGTGCCGTTATCAAAGCTTCCCTAATGGCCAGGCAGGAGCTTGGCAATATGTCTTCTTTTCTGCCGATTGCCTGGGTCAGACTCTAGACATAACACATCACTATTTAGTGCTATCACAGTGAATCAGCAGGAAAGGGTGCCATCATGAAGTCAGCTCCTTGATATCACTTAACACATAGATGGAGAATAAGGGGGGTGAAGAAGGGTGAGCTATGTGGGTAAACAGCAATGATAGGGAGCAGTGCCTGTGAAGAGCTGAAACATCTTCAGTCAGCATCTGAAAAAGACATAATTACCAGAAGCCCTATACGGTCTATACAAGTTTCTGCCCAAATCTGCACATACCCTCAGCAGGTCCTCGGGTAGGTCACCTCCATCATTGATGCCACGGTTCATGGATATGAAACGATCTACAGCTGGCTTGTCCTTGACATTAGGATTGTGCAGGCTGGTGTTCAACATGATAATGGCAAAAGACAATACATAGCAGGTATCTGTAGGAAAAGGCAATGGGTTAATAGTGTTAAGAATAAATTTAGTAAATAGAGTAACTGAAGGACCAAATGGCTTTTACTTGAGAAACACTCCTCTAACTTCTCTCCTGTGCTGCTCATACAACCAAGCCCATAGGCTTCTGGCCACATGACCTCTGCTGTATGGAAAGATTGGAGCAATCTGAAGTCTTAAGGTGGCCATACACTTTACAACCATCGCAAGAACTTAGTCTTGCGATGGTTGTAAAGTAATTTAAAAAAACGTACGATCTGCCCATCTTGGACAGGCAGATCGTACTTGCGATCATCGCAAGCCCGCCCCCCTGAGGGGCGGGCTTCAGATGACCGCAATGCTGAATGGGCAGTGTGCGCGTGCGCACACCGCCCCGTGCGGCATTGATCTTACGATCATGCTAAAAACCAGCCGGAAATTGTACGATTCTCGGCTGGTTTTCTAGCATGCTCCTAAGACAAAAGATGTACGACCGTACAGTAAAAACGGTTGCACGCCTTCCATACACTGTGCGATTATCGTACAATCGCGGGATTTCCCGCGATTATCGTGCGATAATCGCACAGTGTATGGGCACCTTTATCTTGTCCTTCAGCAGAAATGACATGACAGAAAGCCTAAGCTTCAAGATCTAAACTCAAGAACAAAAATTTAAAATATTGCATCATGCCAGATTAAGTGACAGAAACAGTTTCTGTCCTAGGGTGACAATACACACTGTACCGTATCTATAGCAGAGTAGCAGGAAGTGTGTTAAGGGTAACCCGTTCTCAGCATCGCCAGAACATACAGGGAGGTGTTCTGTAGCGCTAACATACTTCCCGATAACACTTTTTAAGATAACAGTGCAAAGTGCACAGGACAGCAATGGATTTCTGGCAGGATCAACAGCATACCAAAAGGCTTTCAATCATATATTTAAAGCAAAGCTCCGGGCAACATTTGTATTAACCCTTGCAGTGGGGCTACCCCCCACACTGCAAGATTTAACTGCTCACTTGTGTTTAGGGGCTAATTAAAAAAAAAAAGTTATACTCATCCGAACCTCAGAGCCAGGCGGCTGTCACAGCACTCCCTCCAGCTTGTCTCTGCCTATGCTGCAGCGCGATGGTATGTCCCTTGGCATGCAATACACAGTGTATTGGACGTGATGACTCGAGGATCCTTAGACCACTGCAGCAGAGGGGGAGCGCGGCTGGAAGCACTGATCTAAGAGCAAGCTGGCTCAGAGGATCAGGTGAATATAACTTTTTTATTCTAGTCCCTAGACACAAACGAGCACTTAGCCCTTGCAATGCGGTGGGTAGCCCCACATAGCAAAGATACATCAGAACCTCAGTAATCTTTTATTTATTCATCCCAGTAAGACATTAATAACTCAAGTTATCATTTGAGGACAGCTGCATCAGAAAGAAGTACTGAAAATTAAGTCAAGACATACATTCCTGGTAAACTTAAATATTAGGCCGTTTAACACATCATGATCACTGATTGTATGCCTATTACAGAAACCCTATTTGTGCTTTCCAGATCATTTTCTTAAAGGAAAAAAAACACAGAAGAAAAAAAAACATCATAACGAACCTGTTGATTCAAAGACTCCTAGATTACACTGGCAGTACCGCTGAGCAAATGCTTCCATCATACGATCAATTTTCTGAGCTTCTCCTGGCAAGCGGAAGCTCCACAGGAACTGACTATGGAGACACAGAGTTATATTAAGTATGAACAGACCAAAGAGAATTAAAGTTCTCAGATATCTCCCCTTTAAAAAACTGTATGTATGGCCCCAACTTACCGAAGTGCCTGCACTAAGTTAAGGTCTGTAAATTCATGAAGTTCCACAAAGGCATGAAGTATGCGAATGTTAAAATCGTCTCTGCAGAAAATAATGTGTGGTTAGTATTTATTTACTGATCAATAGTTACCCAATACTGGCTTGCTGGCATTATCCTACATCCCCAAATACCTTCTACTAACACTGATACTTCCTTTTTATGTGGTGTCGAATATACACTGCCTGGCCAAAAAAAAAAAAGTCACCACCTGGATAGCTAAGTATATAGGTCAGAGCCTTCCACTGGATAATAGGTCTAGGTTTAGCAATCCTATGTGCCCAAAAATTGAGGTCAGCTGCCTACCTGAATATACTGAATGACCAGGTTTTTCCATCAATGGATTTTTTTCTTCCCTGATGGCACGGACATATTCCAAGATGACAATGTCAGGATTCATCGGGCTCAATGTGTGAAAGAATGGTTCAGGGAGCATGAGGCATCATTTTCACACATAGATTGGCCACCACAGAGTCCAGACCTTAATCCCATTGAGAATCTTTGGGATGTGCTGGAGAAGACTTAACGCAGTGGCCAGACTCTTCCATCATCATTACAAGATCTTGGTGAAAAATGAATGCAACTCTGGATGGAGATGTTGTGACATTGCATAATCTTATGGAAGCGATGCCACAGTGAATGCGTTCCATAATTAAATCTAAAGGCAGTCCAACTAAATATTAAAGTGTGATTGTTTTTTTTTTTGGCCAGGCAATGTAGTTACCTCAGTACTAATGAGAAAACAGAATGGAAGAGAAAAAAAAAACGGCATGACATCAGCCATTTGTCTTACCGTTCTCCTAAGTAGTCTCCTATAGCGGTCTTATTCAGTCCTTCACCTTTGTACAAGAATTGGGCAATGCTCTCACAGGTATTAGCCAACAGCTCATTATCAATCAGGAACTGGATACCCTGCAGGAGGATGAAACAATATTGGCTCCCTGGTTCACGGAATTCATCTTGCAGACAGGACTTTTATTAAATATACCTTTTTAGGGTCCATGTTGAATTTCTTTCTTCCCATTGCAACTTGTTTATTCTTTTGCTGGTTTTTCCTGTTGAACAATAAAATTATTATTGGGGCTAAGGTAACGTGACGCTATAAAAACACATAGTGAAGTCAAAAAGACTAAAATATTAATAAACAAGCTATGCTTCTAATTATAATGCATGTTGCAGTAGTCCTTACGTGGGTGTCAGAATATCATTTCCATCTTTATATACTCTTGACAGTCAGCAATTTGCAGAATACCCAGAGCCATTCTCCAATTTATCTCTGACACACACACATCAGAAGCCATCAGAGATAAAACCATGACCCCCTAATAAAATGTGCTGCAGCACTTGATTATAAATATATCTGCACTTTGTTTTCTCTTTGTCCCCCTGCAGAGTCCCACAAATACCTTTTGTGCCTGCCTGTAAAGTCCACATAATGCAGATTCTTTGTTATGGGTGGTCAACAATTCTACACTGCCCCTGAATTCAGAGCAGAGTTGCCACTCATGTAGACTGTCTGTTTTTTGGATGAAAACAAATATTGCAGGGAGCAAGAAGAGGAAGGCTTTGGCTACTGAAACTGCAACTGTGCTAAAATGAGAACATTCAATCATTGTATCTGTGCTTTCTGTAATCCATAGCAGCCAGCACCTAGAAAGCACCTTGCAGGGTTGCTGGGGGTAATTCCCTTGTCTGTGCTGTGTAACCATCTCTCTATCTGCTTTCTGTATCACCAATCACATTCAACCTTCCAAGGCAGGATTCCACCTGGCTGATAGTTGTGAGAAATGTCTTTGTAATGACAATTTTACTCTAGGCTTTCTGTATGCAAGAGGCAGCAAAGGGCCTGCATTGAGTTTGGGATGTGATAGCTCACCTGTAAGGGATGATTTATACCATCTGCGTTGGAGTCATCGTTTCCAACGCAGCTGGCCATCGTTTCCTACGCAGCCCCAAAGCAAGACAAGTCAATTTGCCTTGTCACGAATGTGCATTCACACCATCGTCATGCAGTATTAACGCAGTGGTGGGTGCTGAAAAAAGGTATGCGCTACTTTTTCTCAATGTACAACCGCCTCACACCCCCCTGTGCCCATAGAACTGAATGAAATGTCACTTGTGACAATTCAATAAAAGTTCTAAAAAAATAAATAAATGCACAGTGTGATGCGCTGGGATCAGCTCTTCGGGCACTGTACCGGGGCACCACACATCAGAAGCTGTGCAATTAGCACAGCATCTGGGCCCTTAAGCCTTAGTACTGAACTGGCTGGCTAAGCTCCCTGTGACTCTTCGAGTTATAAATTTGACTTGCTGAAAGCAGCCTCCTCTAATTGAAGGACACCGATGGCTTTTATATCGTACAGAACTTACAGAGGAACCTTGGTGAAACACACAATTCCCTACAGGCAGGTCACGCAATGTCATTTTTTTCTCTTGCAAACAATTCAACCAAAACCAGAAATCAGACAAAAAGTAAAAAGCTTTTCATGTACAGAGTTGTGTACGTATGTTCTTTCTTTAATTATTATATATATATATTTTTATCGTATACATTTTTATTGATAGTATTTTGATACATGGTACAAAACAGTACAATACAGGGCGCCTGGGTGGCAACCTCATGAAGAGGTATCCCAAAGGGTATCAGAACAAAGGCGTATTTAAAGACAAATTCTTGATAACAGTTGGTACAGCTTCTGTACATGATTTCCGCTTGGTGCAGTAGGTGTAGATAGTATTCAAGTAATGTGGAGTCATTTAATTTACATATTAGCACAATATCTAGTCGTGGTGCATGACACATTCAGCGTTCTCAGTGTAAGTAGGGGTTCCTCAGTCACGCTCTGACTAGGGGGTGTAATGAGTCAGGTGCGGAGTACGATGACCCCCACATCTGGCGAAACATTCATGCCTATGGGGCATACAGAGGGTTCATGAGCTGGGCGCTACCAGGTGTTGCATGTGGGCAACAGTTGAATTTCAGATGCTGCGGCACCACATAAGACAAACATCACAACATGGGGTAGGGGGGACAAAACGTCACTGTATATAAAGATATTAGGGGTAGATCATAAAGTACAGAGGCGACGAGGGGTGTTGGGGGCCAAATATTTGTCGATCTATGGGGACCAAGTAGTCTCAAATTTGGACATTTTATCGTTAAGTTGCGCGGTCTGTTTTTCATGGGCCATTACCCAATTAATATGGTTAATTACACTGGTGATACTGAGGGTTGAGGTCAACCAGTTCTTTGCTATTTCCCTCTTGGCTGAGGTGCATACATGCATGGTCTACAATTGGGAAGTGCAAAGTAGGGGTCCCTAGGTATAGGTTCCAAGAACAGTGATGAGAAGGTTGAAGATTTCCTCCCAGAAGGCAGAAACCCGTGGACAGTCCCACCATATGTGGAAAAACGTGCCCCTATCGGGACAGCCCCGAAAGCAGTTAGGGGAGCAATTAGGGTTATAGATAGCCACTCTAGCAGGCACTAGGTACCACCGCAATATGACCTTATAATTAACCTCCAGCATGCCTGCACATTGCGAGCTGCTCCTGGTATTAGCCCAAGATTGTTGCCAGATCTCTTCATCTGCAAGTGGTCCCAGGTCCTTTTCCCATTGGGACACATAAGGAGGGGGTGTATCTGTAGGGGATATTAGAATGGAATAGAGAAGGGAGATAATTCCAGGGCTGTGTGGGTCGTTACAACAAATTCTTTCGAATGGGCACATTAAGCGGGGGCTACTAGGTTTTGGGGTGGACGATGCGATAAAGTTTTTTATTTGGAGATATCAAAAGAGCTCCTTACTCGGGATCTGCTTATGTTCTTGTAAGTGCGGGAAGGGTTTCACTCCCGACTCAGATTGTAGTTGCCAGAAATAGGTGAGGTTCCATTCCGCCCATGCGGAAAAGCATGATGGATGTCTGAGGGCTGGGCGAACGAGGGGTTGGCGATAAATGACATAAGGGGTAAGTGTGGAGAAAGGAGTCCGTAAGATGTTTTAGTGGAGTCCCATAATCTGAGCGAGTGGGATGTGATCGGGTTGGTAAATGACGGTCTGTGTTTCAGGGCCAGCCAGAGGAGGTTTGCAGCGGACGTTGGTGTCACTAGAGTGTTTTCCAAAGCCACCCAGGCTGGAGCCTCAAAAACCGAATGGTATTTCACTAGTTGCTCAATCTGTGCCGCTAGGTAGTGTTTAGATAGGTTTGGGACAGCCAGACCACCTCGAGATTTTGGCAAGTATAGAGTACGTCTAGGGACTCTAGGTCGCTTATTTTCCCATATGAACTCAAAGATACGAGTTTGGAGTTTCTTGAGGGCATGAGCTGGCACAGCTACTGGCAGGACTCTAAAGAGATATAACATTTTGGGTGGGAGGGTCAGTTTAACCGCTGCTATCCTCCTTAGCCAGGATAGGTGGTAATGGGACCACGTCTTTAACATGGTAGAAAGTTTAGTCAGCATGTCCGGATAGTTTGTAGTGTATAAAGATTGGTAGGAATGTCCCAGTATAATGCCCAGGTAGGAGATGGTCTGAGCGCCAGGAATAGGGGTAGGTTCTGCGTAGGGACTCAACAAGGGTTGAAGGTAGGGAGATATTTAAGGCTGTGGACTTTGAGTCGTTGACCTGGAGCCCTGAGATAAAAGGCAAAGTCAGAGAGGAGTTTTGTGAGGTTTGGCAGGGTCACTACAGGGTTTGTTATAAAGAGCAGAGCATCGTCCGCAAACATACATATTTTGTGTCAGAGTCCCCCATGGTCAATGCTGGTGATATCTGTGGAGTTGCGAATCTTTTGGGCAAGGGGTTCCAGGGCGCATCCCTGCCTGGTGCTTTCGAGGATCAGGAAGGGTTGGGAGCAGAAGCCTGAATATTTAATACGTGCAGTTGGTCTGTTATTACAGGGAGGGCACCCAATTTAGAAAGAAGGAGCCAAAGCCCCATTGACGCAGTGTGTGGAAGAGATAGGGCCGGAGACGCTGTCAAAAGCTTTTTTAATATCCAGGGAGAGGAGCATGGAGGGTATTTTCCTAGTCTTGGCTATATATGTAATTATTATATTTTACAGAAAAACAACTTGACAAAAGATTTCTTTGAGACTTCCTATGTCTGATTAGAACTCCTGTAGGCCCGCTGATAAGAGTTAATGCCATGATGACTCATTGAGCAAACGCCCTTCATCCAGCAGAGAGGGTGTAACACTGCATTACGTGCAAACAGGTGACTAAAAAAATCACTTGTAACCTGCCTGAATCTCCCTCCCCTCCACTCTCTCTTCTCCCCTCTCTCTCCTCCCCTCTCTCTCCTCCCCTCTCTCTCCTCCCCTCTCTATCTATTGCCAGCGTCCGGGGTTGGACAGCCTTCCTGTCACAGGAGAACGCACACAGAACTGTGCTACAACTCATGTGTTGGAGGTGATAGGGTCAATAAAAGAGAACCTGTCACGTCCAAAAGCTATCACACAAGGGTTTGTTACCGCTGTAAAGTCAATAAAGTCAAGGGACAAAAATAAAATATATATTAAAAATGGAAATACAGAAAAAAAAAAATAACAGAAATAAATGATAATTAAAAAGAAAAGAAAAAAAAAAGTAAAATCAAATCTAAAAAATTAAAACCAACCACGCTGCACCTATCATCTGCATGCAAATAAACACATTTTATACACCTGTAGCCATAGAGTGATTGGAACACCTGAATCCAATGATTTAGAGGGCTGTTTCCAAATACTTTTGGCAATATAGTATACTATGTCCTGAAATATTTACAAGCACTCAGCGATCAGCTGATTGTTGAGTGCTTGTAACTGCTCTCCATCCTGACTCACCTGTCACAAGAGGCTGAGCGGGCGGTGCAGGGAGATCTCAGCCTCCGGTCATATTGCTGACAGGTGACTCCTCCCCCCACACTGCAGGTTTGGCCTCCTGTGACAGCTGTTTTCTCCCCGCACCACTCTCCATCCCGATTTGCTTGTCACGGGGAGGCCGAACGGGGCGGGGAGGAGAGCTCTGCCTCCTGTGATGATGCTGATGAGCACTCTCGTCCCCGCCTAGCTCAGCCTCATGACAATTTCTCTCCTCCCCGCTGCATGCTGCTCTGTGTCAGAGGGGACACAGAGCAGCACCCAGTGGGGAGGAGAGAAAGTAGAGATGCACCACAATTTTGGCAAAAGTACCATTTTCAGCTATGTTTTGAGGGCAGAATTTTGGATGCATTCCTAATTGTAACTTCGTTTTTTCTTTTTTTGAGAATAAATACACTTAAAGGGTAAGGAACAACAGTAAGGGAAGTATCTGTTACCAATGAGACCGTACAGCAAATATGTACCTTAATGACCCTATCCTCATCAGCACATCTTAACTTTAATTTCCTCCCCCACTACTTTCAGCCACCCGGAGCAAGGAAAGGAAGCTCTGTGTAAGCTCCGTGTCACTCCAGTGACAGAGGACCGTCTTCTATGTGACAATACTGGGCCAATCATCAAGTAGCAGCAAAGTCACATAAGAGAAAAGAGAAAAAGTCACACGCTCACCCATACAAACAATTGCCTGGTATTTTGTTAATGGTGGCTAAACAGAGCAGTTGGGGAGCAAGTGAACCTGTTACTTTGTGCTGCATAGGGAAACCACAGGTTCCCCTCCAAGGTTTTGGGGGGTGTCCTTTGGTGTCCTCACTTATAAAGCAAGGTGGATGGCCCTGCATTGTACTTGATGACATAAGAGTTTGACTGAGCGACAGAAGGTGGAAGAGAGGCGGGTTTGAGGACCTCTCACATGGAGCAGAGCCTGTGCAATATTAGTAGCCTAGACAAAAATGAGCATTTAACCCCTGCAATGCATAGGGATTCCACTGCAAGGGTAAATGTAAGCTATTCATCTTTCTGGAAACAACTATCTGTACAAAGTCAGAATAAGTCAAAAGGCAACGTAGGGTATATTCCAAAGCAAAAAAAAAAAACAAACAAAAAACGTCTTACTTCTCCTCCAAAGATCCCAAGTTTTCAATTTCATTTGTTACTTCTGCTATTTCTTCTTTCAGTCGCTGAAAAAAAAAAAAAAAGTTACAATCACATTTACAGAAATACAGATAATCGAGGACATTTCGGGTCATAACTGGCTTGAATGTACTACTGAGGCCAAGTGAATTTGGGAAAATGGAATTACCTCCTCCAATCTGGCCCCCTTCTCCCAAGCTATACTTACCGTTTGGCAAAAGTAAGAAGCACTTCTCATTGGTCAGCGCGGTCAGAATACCTTCTCATTGGTTAGTGCAGTAAGGTGACCACGCTGGCCAATGAGTGCTCGCCATTTGCGAGTGAAATTCAAAATCCAGAGTGCAGGGCTGGGATACACAGCTGTACGGGGTAAGGATAGTACACTAGCACAGATGGAGGGGAAGGAGCGTTCACCGAAAGGTAAGTATAGCCGGGGGAGGGAGTACATTTTAGGTTCACTTGGAAAAGTGGACTTTCCCTTTAACTCAGTTTCTATGTTACCAATAGTTATATCATTGCTACAATTCACTTTTTCCTGGTCATATCAAAGTGTAAATGTGCAGATGATAATCAGCCATAGTTACATAGTTACATAGTATTTGAGGTTGAATAAAGACATTAGTCCATCAAGTCCAACCTATTAGGATCTCATTCTAGGAGTACCCGTACCCCTGTATATTACGGTCCCAAGGAAATCTAGAATCTGAACACACTATGCCCTATATACAGAATTTTCAGAAGAGATCAGACTTTTATTATTATGAACAGAGTTCATAATAAAAACAGATGTGGTTTTTAGTTATGCAGACCCAGCCTACTCATATCGAAGGCAATGATACCTCTGACTGCTGGTCTCACGAAATTCTGAGTGAGATTTAGTGATTTCACTGCTGTGCTGCTCATTGTTCTCCTTACAGGAGAGGAAGCTGCAGTGCAAGGATTTCCCTGCTTCTGCTTCAGTCTTCCAATGGATCTGTACTTTCGGATACTGTCCTAGTGCTGCTTGATTATTAAACCTGCAGTATATAGTGGAGTTTTGACATGTGTTTTCATGCACTTTTTTTTTGTTTAGCCAATGAAAGTCAAATAAAGTGAAGGTTGTTGTCATGCTAAAAACACACAACATCAAGTTGCAAGGTTTTTTTTGTATACTGCCTTTGAAGTCTCTGGAGTCAAAAACACATGTGGATGCACCACAAAACTTTCAGCACACTGCACAGGTGTGAACGGGTCTCATAGAAAAGAACGGCATCAATGTGCATTGGGAAAGCGTGTTAAATCGTCCAGGCTTGAACAGGGCCTCAGGCCGACCAGCTCTGCAGATGTAAAATCTCAGAAGGAAATGTCTGATAAAAGATGAGTCACTGTGATAAGTCATTCACCCATGTGTGTAAAGTTCAATTTAAACTATTGATATCTGTATATAAGACTTTCTTCAACAATTGGGCAAACAGAGATGAGCAGATAAAAAAAGAAGCCAAAAGTACTTGCTGATGGTTTAACATTCATATACACTACACAGCCATAACATTATGACCACTGAGAGGTGAAGTAAATAACATTGATTATCTTGTTACAATGGCATCTGTGGGATATATTAGGCAGCAAGTGAACATTTTGTTCCTGAAGTTGATGTGTTGAAAGCACAAAAAAATTGGCAAGTGTAAGTTTGAGCGACTTTGACAAGGGCCAAATTGTGATGGCTAGACGTCTGCGTCAGAGCAACTCCAAAACTGCAGCTTTTGTGGGATGTTCACAGTCTGCGGTGGTAAGGACCAAAAGTGGTCCAAGGATGGAGAACCGGTGAAGCGGCAACAGGGTCATGGGTGGCCAAGGCTCACTGGATGCATGTGGGGAGCGAAGGAGAGCCCACATTGCAACTTACAAGACTTAAAGGGTCTGCTAATGACAGCTTGGTGCCAGATACTACAGCGTACCTTTAGAGTTCTAGCGGAGACCATGTCTCATCGGGTCAGGGCTGTTTTGGTGGCAAAAAGGGGACCTACTCAATATTAGGCGGGTGGTCACAGTGATATGGCTGATCGGTGTAACATATTTCATATTAAGCTAACAAAAAAAAGGAAAATATTTTACACAATGTCCTGACTATAATAAACATATACAAACCCACCAATGGGGAGTCAGAGTATAAGTGGTTTGTATGTAGGTCGGTAACTAGCTGTGATGCAGAGATTATATTACATATATCACAAGTAGGTCTGAAGATACTGCCAGCTTAAAAAATGAAAATAGTAAGCTCCTAAAAAAGGGAGCGCAGGACAGCAAAATGTATGACATATTTTCTTCACGTATGTGCATATTAAGTGAAGGGATATTGACCCCAGGCTATGTATACTTCCAAAGGTAGATCTTTTCTCTACGTTGACAGGTGGAAGTACGTTGGTGGAAGACAGTGATTCAGTGTCATTTTAGTGACAATGTCATGTTCGTGTTAGGCAAGGATTAACACAGAGGACATTCACCTGTATATCTTCCAGCAACTTCTGCTTGCGACGCTGGATGTTCTCCAGTTCCTCTCGTTCCTGCGTGGTCAGGTCACCGGACACTAGAACAAAATAATAATATAACCATTACATTAAAATAACATGTAACTTTTCAGTACGATGCAAAAACAAAAGTTGCCTAAATGCTAGTCCTATAATAGAATAGGAGCCAAAAGGCACCAAGCTTATTTGTTAGGAGATAAAAGGGAATGTTTTACTTGGATTAATAAGGCAGTTTAGTTATGTGCTCCACTGTTTTATGTGAACATGTATTTTAAAATTAGGTCCACTTTAAGTGCAGAATCCATTTTAACTAAAAGTTCAAAAAACAGGAATGTGCTTGTAATATATGTTCATATCATACTGCAGAGAGGTGGTGAAAAGCTGTACGCTGTTCATAAATCAACACCAGATGCTTCACTCTGCATTGTCAGGTCCCCTGCAGTCCTCAAGCCCTGTGTCTTGCTCTGACTTGTAACCCATCATGCTCACTCGATTTTTCCTCGGCCTCAGTTTCCCAACTTCAGCTTCTTTACCTCTCCACCCCTTCCCCTTTCAGTTTGCTGCTCTTTTCTTCAGTCCCTATTCAGCACCTCTACTCCTTTGCACTTATCTTCACAAATGGCAACAGCAGTCATCAGATGACAGCATGTTATCATCTCCACACTGTTACCCATGTGCCCTCACACATATAAAGCTGAACTCCGGGATAAGCAAACATTGTCTAATTACAAGAGCCGTGTGCATTCTTAAATCTTCCTGTGCTTTGTGCATTTTTTCTTGATCTGTGCACTAACCCGGCATGAAACATTCCCTCTGTGGAGGAGCTTCCTTTAATAAAGACCGGTCACTGTTCTCTTTCCTTGTGCAGGGTGGCTGGTCTTGTATCTGCCTCCTCCTGTAGTGGGTGGGTCCTGTGACGTCTTTCTCACAGCTTTGCTCTATGCACAGACTATGTGCAGCACAGTAATTATGCCACTGTTATCTTTACATGATAACAACTGTATGCAAAAGGCATTTGGTGCACACAAAGTAGATTTAGTGGTTATTGAGGAACCTAGTGCTGCCCAAACAGGCACCACCAGAAATCCTATCTCCATCCTGCCAGCATCCTATACATGAATGTGCACCTCAGAGAAGTACAGGTCCCATCAGGGGGTGATAAGGCAACTGGCCCCCTCAATGGGGAGAGACCAGTCATCATAACTAGAAATGTATTCCCTGAAGCGGTTAGGTATACAAGTTGGAGGTTGTTCTGTACAGACAAATGAACTAAGGTAATGTTGTGGCTTGTCACTGACAGTATTCTTGCGTTGTACAACATTCAGTTTTAACATCCTGAAAAAAGTTGTAACACTTCCGTGTGCTATGTAAGGCTGGGTTCACACCTAGGCGTATTGAATATGCGCGTTTCGCAGTAAAAAAAACGTGCGGCAAACGCCCATTTTCCGAGGGCTACTTGGCTGTATCCCAATGGAAACGCGAGACCAAAACGCCCCAAAGAAGTACATGTACTTCTTTGGTCGTAGGCCGTTTTGTATCGCGTTCGGACGGGCGGAAATACGGCAAGGTGTGAACCAGACCCATTGAATACAATGGGATTTAGATGTTTGAGCGTTTGTCGAGCGTTGAACGCGCTACAAAACATTCAGGTGTGAACCAGGCCTAAAAAGGTAAAAAAAATAAGTGCCTAAAGTTTGTTTTTTATCCCCCATTTTTATGCATCTGGAGCTGCAGGAAGAACCGTACTGTGCTTTACCTACAAATCCCAACATACCTCTGGTAGTCATGCCTGTAACTGTCAGTTTCACAACAGCTGGAGGGCTGGAGTTGCCCACCCCTGAGGCGCTTTCAGTTCCTAAACCAAGCGCTGAGTAGCTGTCCTGCAGCACTTCAGCTCGCTGCAGCAGCTTCAATGAATGCTTCGGCCGCACAGTGCTAAGCAAAATGGCGGAGGATTCAGTATTAAATTCTGCCATTAGTGCAATTTCTACGGTTTTACAGGGGGAAGCTGAAAGCCATGGCATATTTGATGTGGCTATGAATGAAATAGATGTTTCATTATTGGAGGAAGAGAAAGAAACCAATATATTCATATGGTTGCAACAATTAGGTCACCAGTCCACCTTTGCAATAAAAGAGTATTTTGAACAAACTAGGGATCCACCGATACCACTTTTTTAAGACAGAGTACGAGTACCGATACTTTTGATCAATTACTCGCCGATACCAATTACCGATACTTTTTCTTAAAGGGACAGGTCCCATTTTTTCTACAGCAATACAAACTAATGCTTTAAGGTCACTTTCTTAATATTATGATTCATGAGATGACGAGGGAGCATGACGCCGGCTTCCCGGCCAATCAGAATGCCGGGTGCTGCGTTATTACACGCTACCCAGCTTCCTGATTGGCCAGGAAGTCAGCTCCATGCTCTCTCATCACAAGTGACGAGAGAGCATGGAGCCGTTTCCTTGCCAATCAGGAAACCGGGCAGCCTGTAATGATGCGCTGCCCGACTTCCTGATACAGGAAGTACTCGTGCTAGGTATCGGAGCATTTGGGCGAGTACGAGTACTCACCCAAATACTCGGTATCGGCACCGATACCAATACTAGTATCGGTATCGGTGCATCCCTAGAACAAACTGTGCCTTGTTTTTCAGACAGTTTGTCGTTCACACTCGTCCACCAAAACATTAAATTGTAGGTTTCCACACTGAATTGTGATTTGCTCCATGCTGCCAGATGTGCCCACAGTTACAATGACCACTAGTGCTTTGTCCCCACCTTCTCCATCACACTCAGCGCTCTGCAGCCCCATTCACTTCCGATGCGAGTGATAAGTTAGCATTGCTGAGCGCTGACTTGCAGCACAGAGTTCACCGGCGGTTTGCTAAATCATCACTCGCAACGGCTGATCAACTGAACGCGCCTCAGATGTAGATACAGGAGCTGTGGGCCCTTACACGCTGCTTCCCACAGATGGTGCACGGCTTGGACGCAGACATGATGGATCCAGGTCTGTGCACAGTCTGTTTGGACATCTTGTTTGCTATTTTGTGTCAGTCAGAAAAAAAAAAAGGAAAAACGTAAAGTAATGGTGAAAAAGATTATTTTGGACATATAAATTCTTGATGGTCATCATAACCTGGGGGCATAACAGGGGTGTGTCTATCGCCTAAATACCCTGAGGGGAGTTTATCAAAAGTAGAGCAGACAATCTGGAGCAGTTGCCGATAGTAACCAATCAGCTTTTATCTTGAATTTGTGAAGCGTAACTGAACAAAGTGAAGAGAAATGCTGATTGGTTGCTACTGCTCCAGATTCTGTCTGCTCAAGTTTTGATAAATTCCTCCCCCACTTTGTTCCAATTGCTGCTACCATTCTTCATCAGATACCTTATTGGAGGAATTTAGCTGGGAGTCTGCGTACAGTGGCCCACTACCAGTGCTGTATGCCTTACATTGCGGGCAGTGAAAGGGTTAAATCATTTTGTATCCAAAATTTCAGGATTGTAACATGTGTGTAAAAAATAAAACAACTGTGCCGGTCCGGAGGTGATTAATGCAAGCTTCACAGGAAATTACATTAATGATTTCATCTTCTGATTACAGAACTCTTGATCAACAATTCTACTGTATTTTCACTTGCAGCAAAGAGTGTGGGGAATAAATAGATTGGCATATTCCAAAAAGCAGCAGTAAATATTCCATACTGGAGATGACGAGGAAGAAAACCCCGCTCAAAGCCTAAGCTTTACCTACAGCGATGAACACAGTAATGGCAGCTATATGAACAGATAGAATGGGGAAAGGTTAGAATCCCTGTCAGGTTTTACTGCTCTTCGGGGCTGCATTAGTGAGATTTCCCTCACTTCCTGTTCTGGGGACAATCTTTTTATCAGACAGGAAGTGAGGATAAGTCTGCAACAGGGAAGAAGAAAGAAGAAGAAAGAAAGAAGAAGAAAGAAAGAAGAAGAAAGAAAGAAGAAGAAAGAAAGAAGAAGAAAGAAAGAAGAAGAAAGAAAGAAGAAGAAAGAAAGAAGAAGAAAGAAAGAAGAAGAAAGAAAGAAGAAAGACGAAAGAAGGACGAAAGAAGAAGGAAGAAAGACGAAAGAAGGACGAAAGAAGAAGGACGAAGGACGAAAGAAGGACGAAAGAAGAAGGAAGAAAGACGAAAGAAGAAGGAAGAAAGACGAAAGAAGGACGAAAGAAGAAGAAGGACGAAAGAAGAAGAAAGAAGAAGAAAGACGAAAGAAGAAAGACAAGAAGAAGAAGAAGAAGAAGAAGAAGGAGAAGGAGAAGGAGGAGGAGAAGGAGAAGGAGGAGGAGAAGGAGAAGGAGAAGGAGGAGAAGAAGGAGAAGGAGAAGAAGAAGAACACAAACGGTCTGTGTTGCTCTCAAAAAGATTTAAACTTCACTTTTTACCAGACGGAAGTGAAGGGATTTCTTAAACAGAGCCACCAATGGCTATAAAACCTGACAAGAGTTTAAGAGTTTCAACCTTCCCCACTTTACCCAGAATGAAAAAGAAGAAGGTTTTGACTATAGACACAATTGATGCAAAGCAGTCCAAATGGGGAAGTTGGAGCAGTTTCTGTGAAATGATGTGACATCAGTGTTTCTGAAACCTACGCTCACGCCATCCTGCTAAAGACAGTCTGTACATATTGCTGAAACCTATTTTTCTTTTGTCTGGCCTATTAAAAAGGAAAAAAAGATTTCCGTAGCATGTTCTGCCCTTTTCTCATCTAATATACAGGGCTAAACAATGCCGATAGAAAACAGGTGTCATACGTGAATACAACCCTCTAGGCAACATGCAGCCTAAGCTGCCCATACACTGTTTCTATTTTTTTTTGTTCAACCTGCGGACTGAAAAGAAATAAAAGAGAGATTCCTCGATCCACGATAAACACTGTGGATGGACGAATCTCCCACTGGGCTACTGTATTCTGACAGCAGTGGGTGTGCTGCTGTCAGAATACTCGAACAGTGATGGCTGCCCTCACTGTTCACCCAAAAGATTTTCAGCCGCCTCCTTCAACTAGCACATCAAG